AAAATACCCACGACCGGATTATATACGGATTTTGGCCGTAGATAATAGGTATTTTTTTGTAGTGTATGTTATACAAATTTCAACTCTTCTTTCATGACATCTAATCATTTCTTAGAATTATCAAAACTTACAACTTGTGAAAACATAAATGGATCATTATCATTAATGCTTAAGTACTCGTGTAGATATGCAATATAGTTATTTCAAATAGTTGATCTCCTTTCTCTTTAAGGCCTTCTTAATATTATTTCTTGTGGTTCTTTTACCATAGGTTCATTTTGAATCATGAGTTCATCATTGTGTTGTTCTTCTTCATTATTCATGGAATTAAACTCTCACTAGTTTCACAATTTTTAATGAATCATTGCATTTTTAGTTTCAACAATTCTTATATTATGATTAGGACAATAAAACATATACCCTTTTGACTTTTTTGCATAACCAATGAAATATTAATTTATTGTTCTTGCATCCAGTTTTTTTTTTCTTGCAGATTGTAAACCCTTATTTATGCCTAACTTTAAACATTTATGTGCATTATACTGGGTGTCCTACCAGTCCATAGTTCAAAAGTTGTCTACAGAACCTTCGTACTAGGAACCTTGTTCAACAAATATATGACAGTTTAAGGCATACATCCATAAATAAATTGGTAAAGAATAATTGTTTAACATACTCCTAACCATATCTATTAATGTTCTATTACACATTTTTAATACACTATTTTATTGCAATATTGTACATAAATGTCATGTTTCTGATGGAGTTTAACGAATGGACCTAGGTGTTGCCTATTCTTATCATACCTTCCATAATACTCACCATTTCTATTAGACCTGTGAACTTTCATATTTCTATCTAATTGTCTTTATACTTCATTCTTAAAGGTTTCCACTACTTCATATTTCTCATATAGTAAATAGACACAACCATAACGTGAATAATCATCAATAAAAGTGATAGAGTACAATCCATTTCTGAAAGATGTAACATCAAAAGTCTTATAAATGTCAGTGTGCACAATTTCAAGAAGCTTACTACTTCTTGTAGTCCTTTTTATTGTGTTTTGTTTGTTTTCATTTTATACAATCCACATAATTATTTAGGTTAGTAAAATCTAGATTCGTAAGAATTTTATTTTTTATTAATCTTTTCATCATTTCTAAAAAAATGTGACCCAAACATTTATGCCACAAAAAAGTGGAATTTTCAATTTATTATGATGTAAAGTCTTCAACATCCAAACCATCTAAATTCAATTTATGTAAATCATCACAAAGAATATTAATATCAATGGGATAATTATGCTTAAATAAATTGAAATAATCATTACCAAAATTAGAAGAATATCTAGTAACATAAAATTTACATAATGAAACCAAATTACTAAATAAACTAGGAGCATAAAGAATTTCTAATAAATATAAATAATATTTAATATCAAGAATTAAACCATAAGTCACTGTTGTCACTAGAACTTTCATTTTATTTTCCATGAAAACAAATTTTTGATTTGGTTTTATGATTTAAACAATCTCTCAATCTTATTAGAAACATTTGTATATTCAGAATTAATCCATTATATATTATAGGAAACTTGAATTAGATTTGATTCAAAATATATGTACACATTAAACTTATCTTTCTTTTTGAAAGCAACCTTATGATTTGGATCATCCTTTTGGAAATGTCCAGATTTAAAAAAAAAAAAATATATATATATATATATATATATATATATATATATATATATATAAAATGTGGTTTGATGCTTTCTTTGAAATTTTCATTTGCTCCACTTCAAATTTCCATTTCTTAAAATTTGTTCACTATTCCTTCAAGAAGTAGTTACTTGTTACTGGGCTTATGTAATTTAAATTCGAATCTGCAGAATTGTAGAATTTTGTGCAGTTAGTAAAGTAAAAAATAAAAGCAGTGAATCATTTATAGGTTTTACAAACACCTCCAACACTGCGATTTTGGCCACAATGTTAAGCCAGCAATACCAATAACCCCAATAAGAAAGTTGCAACTCCAAAGACAACAATTTAACTTGCAATCTATACCTGAAATTTGGATGTAACACTGCATATATCAGTTGCATCGAGCAGCGCTGTTTTGCTGCTTCTCAGAGTACGGTCTTGAAGAGGCGTAGACCTCTCTTAAAACTCTACCCATTGGTCGCCTCACTTCATCATTGTCTCCACAGATTATGCACTCATCATTTACAAAGAAGGTGTTGGGAAGCGTTTTACCCAATAACAGGATGGACACCAGATATTCTAACCAAAACAGAAAGGTGAATCACCTCTACTGCTTAATTGAAGTTTGAATAATCACTGTCTCTGTTCTTTTTAGGTTCTGCTTTATATATTTTTTCCATAAATACTCTTTTTATAAGTTAATTAAATAAAAATAATATTTTATCCTCTTGACTTCTCCATATTTTTTGTTTTTTAATAGAAAAATAGTGGTCCTTCACCTTTGAAAAAGCTTTGTCACTCAAAATTACCCCTTGATATTTTGGATAGAATAATTAGTAGCTTCCATTTTGGGTCCTATGTCTCTGAATTTCATCACAAGCTTTCCCAACTCAAATTGGAAATATTGTAATTTTATTCATCTAACACATCCATGTGCCCACTATTGTCAAATCTTTCAGACCTACTTCGTTTATTCTAGATTTCCAGCCTTCATTGTTTTACATTTAGGTCTTGAATACCTTCAAGTAGTGAGTGAATTGGGGACTAAAACTAAAATAGGTTTTGAATTAGTTTGTTAAATGTTAGGGTTTTCTCAAAGAGAAATCACCAATTTAGTCATTCAAATAGTAATATTGGTCAAATTAATTCTTAAATTTAACAAAATAACAGATTATTAAAATGAATAAAATAGTAAAATAAATCTTAAAATTTTAAATTATCAATCAATTTAGACTTTAATATATTAATATAAAACAAGTTGGACCTCACTATAAAGGTTTTAATTGCATTCTTTTTCTTCTACTTGTATGTTTATATTTGGCCTGTGAATTAGAAATGTTTAACTGCAAAACTTTTATGATTATGGACCAATTTGTCTTATTATTACAATGTTAAAGATTGAATTGATTGATACTTTATAATTTAAAATACTCTTTCACTGTTTAATGTATTTCAAGAATCAATTTAACTTTCTATTGTAATTTCAATTACTCAATCAACTGATAAAATTTTTTATTAAAATCATGGACTAATTTCACATATTATTATAACTTGAACGAATAAATTAATAACTTACACGATGGAGAATGAGGATTAGGTTTTGTAATTGGTAGAATAGAGAGAGGGAGAGATGAAGTTGTACTCAAAAGCATCCAAATTCATCCTATAACCATATTTATAAAACCCGTCGGCTAATCCAGTGTGGAAGCCCAAGGTCAATGTGCTGCTCCTATGTCCATAGAATATATTATATAATTGATATTCATGTGTAAAGTAATATTTATATTGTTCAGAATTTTTAATTGAAGACTATTTTATAATAAATAATAATAATATAGTTTAAATCTAAAGAATAAATAAATCAAATAATGTTAGTTATATTCTTTAATTTTTTTTTAATATATAATAATTAATTAAACTAGATTTATACTAGAATGATAAATGAGTTGACTGTCAGCTAATCTAAAATGGGTAGCTAATCTAATCTGGTAGGATTTGGATATTTTTAAAATTTATTTATATATTAAAATTAAAAATATTAAAATTATAATATTATATATTTTTTTATGATATTAAAATAGGTAAGTATAACATAATATTATTATTTAAATTATAAATATTAATCAATTAAATTTAAATTATTAATTATATTTGAGTATTTTAACATATTTATATAGTAAATTTTTTAATTTATTTAACAAATATAATAATTATTGAATAAAAATTATTTATATAATTAAAGGTGTATTTTTAAAGAATTATATAAAAAAAATAATATATTGATAAGTTGATTTACGTTAGTCAAAATTAACGGAACGGACTGGAATATGTAGTTCGTTTTAATTATAAAAAATTATTTTGTTTTATTTATTTTTAACGGTCTAGAGACTGAGTGAATGATCGAATTTATCCGTTTTGCTTCTGAAATCAGATTATATATATATATATAAAATGTCGTGATAAAATGTGAATGGTAAGTTGCTAAACGAATTCCAGTACAACGTACATTCAGTGGTCAAGAATCCATGGTTACCTACCATTGAAGCGACCAACGTGACAAACGTAGTCTCTTCATCTCTTGCACCAATTTGTTTGAAGAACCCTATTTTTGTTTTAAGTAAAATCAGAAAAGGATGACATATCTCTGTCTTTGTAGGCAACATGTATGTATCAGACTTAAAAGGCATATTATGAGTAAGAGTTAAGAATGAATTGCTCTGAGACAAACTCCACAACTACTGTGACTAGTCTGTCTTTTGATTAGGAGTGTCATTACCTTTCAACTCACCTCTCCATGGTAACATTTGGAGTAAACAAAGAAAACCCTTTCCAAATAAATAATACCCTCACAATCAATATGAACCAGTGATGATGATGTTCTTCATTAAAATACAGTGTACCATTGTGATGATTTGGTCATAAACTGAGCCATTTTTTTCTAATACCATCGTGTTTCATCAATATTCTAATTAGTAAGGTTAGGTTTGGTTGTGACATATCTAAACAACACAAGTTACCCCTATATTCATGATTAATAGTGTTTTAACATTCCTTTTATATGTATATTGTTGGGAAAATTGATTTTAAAGCTGGTAATATATGTGATATTATTTATGACACTTGCTAACTATAATGATTTGTCATATGAGAAGTTAGAGTACATGAATTGTTGACTATACTACCTTGGTAACTTTCCAATGTCTTAATCTGCTTAGTAATATTGATACAAGTAGAACAATTCATAAGATTTGGTAAGTGAGTTTTTTCTATAATTTTCGTTTTGTTTTGCATTAGAAGATGGTATGATGTTAATAGTTTGATTATAAATGTTGCCAAACACAGAAGTGTCTTTTATTAATTTTATGGAAATGGGGTTTCCCGTAGGCTTTTGAATATTTCTTAAAATCGAAGAAGCCCAAACATTTCATTAACTTGAAACTCACATTTCACCAACTCAAGAACTGTTCCTACATGCCATCCATCTCCTTTCAAATCTCTCACTATTATGAACACCAACCCGTTTTGACATCATTCCCATTTATAACAATACACTTTTCCTGGTTTTTCCCAGTATGCCTATGTAAGAAGGCATGCTATGGAGAAGAAAACAAGTTCCCAAGAGTCACGCAAATTGAGCCAAATCTTTTTCCCCAAGCAACTCAACAAAGTGTACCCTATTAGACTACACAGAAGCTCTTCAACTTCATCCATATCCTCATTATCATCATCCTTGTCACAAAATTCAGATGACTCTTCCCCAACAGATTCTTTGAATCTAGTGGATGACAATTTTCAATTTGCATTGAATTTGATTTCACCACGTGGTCGAAGAAGAGCACCAGCACTTTCTAACACTCCTCACCAACAACAAAGTTCAGATGTTGCTGAGCCTGGTGAATTTAGAAGATGCAACTGGATCACAAAGAACTGTGGTATGATCAATTTCTTTTCCATTTCAAAAGTATCAATAGACAAGTACAAACATTCAATAGGAAACCAAAGAAAAGTGTCAATAGACAAGTATCACTTCATACCGTGTTAGTCCTCAAACAAAGTGGTATATTTCAGAGGATGATGCTATTTCCAACATGCTCAGTGTTCAGCTTTGTCATTATATCTAGGATAGTAGATATCTATATGTTTACACTTACAACTAATTAAAAACAATTTTAGATATGACTTCGAAAGTAACTATTACTAAAATCAACAATTTTAATCGTAAGATAATTTATGATTTGGTGATAATATAAGCCATTTATACTGTGTCAATGTATTCTAATATAAATTCTATGTTTATTCTAATTTGAATTAAGATTCAGTAACGTGAATACAGCACTAGATTAGGTTGCTTCACTTCATGGTATCAGTAGTGTGTAGCTTTAACGTAAAATCAAGTGGCATACTCTGGTGGTTGTTGCGTCTTTCTTGACCAAATTCTTCCTATAGAATAAGATTTTATTTTAGATGAGTGATCGAGTTACTCATGACAACTTAGCCCATGTGTTGAAATCTTGACTACTAAGAATGTTATTCATTACAGTGAGAATAAAATTAAGCAAAACGTTATGGCAATTTAATAACGATATTCGTGATTATGTTTCACACTTCACATGGGTCTTCCGCTGACAAAGCCAAGATTTCTTAGCACTTCTATTTCCAGCTATTTATCATTCCACTTTTGATAATATTTTCACTAAGAAAAATTAGAATCAGAATTGATATAGAATACTTGGGCAGATAAGGCTTACATTGAATTTCACGATGAGTGTTGGGGGGTCCCAGCTTACGATGACAAGTAAGTAATGTTTCTGTACGGTTTACAACGTTGTCTTTACCTTGAAAAATAAGCACTAGTATTTAGATATACATGTTCATAAGCACGATCCAATTCTATTATACATGAAACAGAAAATTGTTCGAGCTGCTTACACTGTCAGGGCTGCTGATAGATTACAACTGGACAGAAATCCTAAAAAGAAAGGAAATTCTTAGGTAACATTGTGTGAGGGAAAATTCCATTTGCACTCATGTTACTTGGTTTGTAATTACATTAATATATCTATAAAATGTGGTGGATGACACAGACAAGTTTTTGCTGGATTTGATCCTAATAATGTGGCCAAAATGGAGGAGAAAGAAATCATGGAAATAGCAGCAAACAAAGAAGTGATGTTACCCGATTGCAGAGTTAGATGCATAGTAGACAATGCCAAATGCATAATAAAGGTAAGAAAGAACAAAATCACTAATGTGATGTGTGTAAAAACAAATTGCAACTGGGGGTCTTCTATGATAGACCAACATGGCTAAGTTAGTAGTTGAATTAATCATATTTCTGCCCGCAGATTGTGAGGGAATGTGGATCATTCAGCTGCTATATATGGGGTTATGTAAACCACAAACCAGTGATTAACAAATACAAATACCCAAGAGATGTCCCTTTAAGGACTACAAAAGCAGATACCATCAGCAAGGACTTGATAAAGCGTGGCTTCCAATTTTTGGGTCCTGTGATTGTTTATTCTTTTATGCAGGCTGCAGGATTGACAATTGATCATCTTGTGGACTGTCATAGGCACAATGAATGTGTAAGACTAGCACAAAGGCCTTGGAGGCATTTGTAAGATAGTCGAGGAGTGTCAAACAACACACATTTTAACATACCTTTAAACACATTTTCTATTATTGGTTAAACTCTATTGAAAATTACAAAAATACAGTAAAATTCATTACATGTGAGGTGAGACTTAAATTTTTGTGATTTTCAAAAGAATACAATCAATAATAAAGAATGTATTTAAAAGAGTGTGTTAGAAAATGTGTTGTGGTATTTCTCTTTGTAACATTCAGCAGTTTACTTGCATAATTTTCTATTTGATTTTTGTATCAACAGCTATTCAGTTTCGCTACATGCCTACACTAGCAAGGAGAAAAAGAACATGCATGCTTTGCAGTCCCTCTATTTTTTCATTTTCTTTGGGGAGTGGGTGGGTTGGGGTCATTTTTCCTTCTCTTCTTTTCATAATGATCAAGTCAAGCTTTGGCATTGTCAATAAATTGAAAAGGATTGCTAGTTGCCTTTGAATTTGAGTGATGATCAGAGTGAGCCTTGAGGCCTTGGTTGTTGTACACTACATGTTTGATATGGTAAGTGAATCAAACCAGTTATAGTGAATGAAGATGTTCTTTTGTTTTCAGACTGCTTTTCTCATTATCTCTAAATCTTTTTGTATGATTGTTATATAAAAGAAAAAGAAAAAGAAAAGCAAGTTTGATCTATATAACATGGTATTCGAACCATATTCAAAGAGAGATATTGAATATGATGATGATATTGCAAAGTGGGTAAGAGAGAAATGACAATATTCATGAAACAACTGTATAGCCTCAGCCTAGTCATTACCTCCTCCCTTTCCCTTCCAAAAAGATTTAAACAAATTTGAAATTCAATCAAACTCACAAATTATAACAAAATTCCAGCTAAACACAACTTCAATCAAACATTTCATTAAGTCTTTTAACTTATGAGAAAATAGGAGGCTCCTCTTATCTTAAAATTTTTTTTTGGTGTTTAATGAATCTAATAAAATCCAAAATATAAGAAAAAACTAAGATGTCCTGGCTAGATCTCAAGAAATTCAATCCAAAAACCAAATAAATCAATACCTACTCAGACAACAGAGGTTCATCTTTTAAAAGTAGAGATTCCATGCATGCTCATAACCCTACATGTGGAAGAGAGATAAAAAGGAAAGAAAAAAAAACTTACTAAATGCAAATTCTCGTAAGACAAAATTATTTTACATTTAATCACATTTTAGCTGGTATGATCATATAAATAAAAATGTGAAAGATGGATTTAGAATTTCAAAGAGAAAATAACGTTTTCTAAAAGGAACGTAAAGACAAGAAAATCCAGAGAGATAATATTTATACATAAATAAAAAAACAAAATATTTAATTTTTTTATTATATGGAACCATTTGAGAAAATATAAAATATAAATAATTAATGCAGATAATTAATATATATATATATATATATATATTATTTAATAAAAATATAATATTTTTTTACATTTTTCTCATATATTAGAAAAAAAAATTGAAAAGTAGAAAGAAAAGTGATAATTTTTAAAATCACTCATCTCAAGGCTAAGAGTGATAAAACTTTGATAGACCAAATTCACCAATATGTCTTAAATCAGTGGGAGATATTTTAGTCCATCAATATGTTATAGCTCGTCTTATATAAATCATTGTTTTTAAAAAATATTTATATATTAAAATAAAAATTATTATAATAAAAAATATTATATTTTTATTATATTATTGAAATATACAAATATTTATAATAATATAATTTTTAATATATAAATATAATAATTTTTTCATATTATTAAATAAATATTAATTAATAAATAAAAATTTAAAAAAATATTTATATAATTAAGAATATATTTTTATATATTCGCTAATCAACCACAATTTTTTTTATAGAAAAAAAATCTGTAGTTCATTTTAATTACAAAGATTTATTCATTATGTGAGACTCTAAATAAATTAAAACGACACGAAAAAATTTATTTTGACCAAAAGAAATATATAGATAGATTTATATTTATTTATTATTTATTAATTTTAAAATAATAATTTCCTTTTTATATATTTTTTCTTAAAATAAAATTATTTTTTTATTTATTATTTTTTTCATCTTAATTTGTTTGTAATAAAATATAACCTAAATTTTACTTAACCAAATTCATAGGTTACACTCATCTAGAGCTCTCGAAAACCTATCCATTCAACTAATACAGTAGTTAACAAATATCAATGCCAATTTACCTAGAAGAAAAATTCAAGACAAAAATTATGCCATGAAGATAAACATGAGGTAATATGATGGTGGGCTCCCTGGTCCTGCCAATATGTGTCCCTTTTGGAACAACTTAAAATAAAGGCTTTCGGAAATCATGCGGTCTCGAACAATAATCACTTGGCCCACTTTATGTAGTCCATAGTTTTCTAATCTTTTATTTCTTCTACTTTTGATTCAAGGAAATAATTAGAAGAAAAAAAATCAAACATATAGCATATATTTGAGATTAACATTTATCACAGTCCTATATTACGGTCAAAGTAATGATTATTCAAAGTTAAACATTTATGTCCTAAAATATTAGGAGAAGCAATTTGACCTATTTTCAGCAATGAAAGAGATAATAAGAAAAAAATATAATTTGAAAGAAATTATCTTTCCCATTTGGAAGAAAAGCATGTATAAGAAGTACGCCAAGTTGATATCCCATAATGATAAGAAATAATTCTTTATTACAATGCATCATGAAGATATTTTCATTCACCTTTGGTGTACTTACACATATCTGTGAGGCTTGATTCTCAAGAGTTCATGTCAAAGTTCAGTCAAACACAAGCATTTGCTCTACTTGACCCACCTGTTCCTGGTTCCTACACCTATGACATTATTCTTTTCTGCGATTCAAATCAAAAAGTGTTCTTAAGTCACTCCCTCACTCTAACTCACTTCTACATCAACACCTGTATAATTGTAGCTTTCCCTTGTTCACAAATAATCAGACACAAATCACTCCTTGTAGCTTTTATTGATGAACTTTAAATATAGAGTCTAAGCTCTTTAAGATATCAACTACTTTGACAGATAAAATGGTTTTTCAAACATGTTCTCACTGTCAAACCTCATAAATCCTAAGTCTTACATATCACCTAACCATTAATTGCTCAAGTCACACAAAATTACTACTGATAATAAAAATACTTTTTCTCTAAAGTCTTTTTTTTTTATCTCCAAAATAATGTTTAACTTTTACTTTTTGTCGAATTTCTTTAACTTTGCTTCTTCTTCTTTTGTTTTGATATTTTTCTAGTCTCTATAATTTGTAGATTATTTTTTTTAGTCGCTATCAAACAGTTTTCAAAGAGAACTAATACAAATGAACAAAATATTATAAAAACTAAAAGACAGATAATTGATTTTAGAAAAACATTTTTGAACTTAACAATAATAATAGTTTTTAATCTGAATTATCAGTTTTTAAAAATTGGCAAATATATATATGGCGAAACCTTTTGTACGAGTTTGCTTTGAGATGGTAATTAAGGGGACAATGAGACATGTCCCAGTTGCACTCTTGTTCTTGTCTTTTTCCTTATCTGAGGTGCATCATTCTAACTTGCAATGCAATGCAAAGCATTAAATGCTTGGCACTGGGAGACCCTGAGAACAAGTGGCAATAAAAAACTTAAAAGAAAATAATAGCCACGGACAGATTAGGATGCCACTTCATCAAACACACTTTCCATGTTGGACACTCTGACAAATAACACTACCTTGACTAATATTTCCATCATAAATTCAAGACTAAGTTATATCCCTTGATGACAACCATTATTAATCAAGGAAGATTGTACAAGATGCAAAATCCTATCAGATCCACAGGAAAAGTTGTTGCAACTTCGATTGTCACTGATCAAGACTTTCACCAAATCTCTCTATGTTTATCTAACTCACTCCAAGACAAAATTGTTGAAAATGACATGCAAAGTTAACCCAGGTGATAGTAAAGTATAGTACCCTGTTTTAAGCCCTTTTTAACAACATTTTTAAGAATTGTTGGTAGAATATGTTTCCTTACTATATCAACCTCTTATAACTCTACACTGTACTCTATTCACCTTCTTCAATAACTATTATTTGTTACCTCATTTATACAATATGCTGTATTACATTTAAATCAACCTTTAGTCATTTTTTTTCATTTCATGCAAAAATTTATGTGACCTATTTTATATATAGTTTTTTAAATTTTATTTCACGTTTATTTTCAATATTAATTTGACATTTTTTTAAGTAAGCAAATCTATTATTAATAAGATGACAAACAAATTTGCATAGGTGTGTGATTCATACTTGTGTCATGGTAACAAATTTGATTATATCAATATCAAATTATACTCTTCATCAATTAATTCAATGATATTTACAAATAAAAATATATTGACTAACTTAAAAATTAAATTATACTATAAAATTAACAAGAAGATAAAATAAAAAAAAACAATAAATAATAAGTATAATAAATTAGTAAATTAAAATTTATCTTAGTATAATATATTTATTTAGTAAATATGTTATTATTTCACCAATGATTATATGTATATAAATAATACATTTTATAATAATTATTTTAAAAATTATATCTACAACGATAGCACAAAACTCTTTGTATAAGTTTTTTCATAAATACTAATAAAAAATAAAATAAAACTAATTAATATTTTTAAAGAAGATAAAATCATTTTAGCTTGGTGATATGAACATGATAGTAATATATAATTATAGTGGAAAGGAAAAAAAAAAAAGTGTGAAAAGAGGTTGGTCATTGGCTCCTTTTCTTGTAGACAGGAGAAATGAAGAGATATGGAGTTGCATTAATAACTAATTGAAATGGATTAGGAAGGAGGATTGAGCCTCTCTGACATAATGAAGGGCCAGACATTCTTGTCCAATGGTTTGTGGGACCATTATTTCTTGTGATGTTCTTAGTTCCTTTGGTTTGGTTTGGTTTGGTTGCTACTTACTACTTGCTAATATCACTCTACCATCTGTTTCATCATGGGGCAACCTTTGTTTTGTAGCACTTCAGCCTTTGCTGAGTGCTAATTAATCTAAACAACCCAGACATAAGATAAATACTCGTGTCCATTTCAACCCACCCCATAAATAGGCTACATATCTACAAATTATCATAAGGGATATTTGCTTTTCTTTTGTTGTCAGAAAAAATTGATTCTTTTTGTTGTATTCTTAGTACCATATAAAATATTTGATAAAACGTTTGAATACTTGCGATGGCAGAAAAATAATTCAGCGGATTCTTCATAGCCACTTGTTTGACCCCTGTTATTTAAGATCTCTTATTTTGCTATGTAGATTAAAAATAATTATTGGGACATAATGGATTTCAAGTTTCTTAATTTGATAACAATTGTATTTAATTTTATATTTTAAAATGATAATTTTGTTCTTTTGTGAAAATTAGTTTTAACAAAAAAAAACAATTTAACACATTTTACCCTGTTTATTATGAATTAACAAAATTCACTTCAAGCTATAATTATTAAAATTGAAATAAGTAATTGATAAACAAAATTATCTATTAATTGGGGGAGTGGTTATTTATTAATACACATTGAATTTTTAACAATGTAGTTAATGAGCAAAATTGATTAATTAGCAATGCAATGGGTACTCACGTGCCTAGACGATAAAAGTGACCGGTTTTGCAGGACATGGAAGCATCATGGCACAATGCAACAAAATGATCCACGGTTTTGATTAACGTTGATTGTTTCACGCCCGCCACTCAAGATGTCGTCTTCAAAGAAAACAAGTGTCATCAATATGCTCAAAGATAAGGAAGTGACTAAATGCATCAAACTTTTTGAATTTTTAGACACAGATTATCTACATATAATGATTTCATAACCTGTATCAAATAGTTCACCAAAAAAATCTGTATCAAATAGTTCATCATAAAGTTATAATCATGTTACTTTGAATCACTTATATAGGATGTTGAACCAGCTTACCATAAATGTAGAATAACCAAATAATATGTAAATGAATAAAGTTATTCCATTCAATCATGTATTAGTATTATAATAATCTGTAGATTGATTTACCACATACTTTACTGTAGATGAAATTTATTGCAAAGAATAGTTATTAAGCAGATCTTTTTAAGATAAAGATCTTATTTTAAAATCTTACAAGACAATCTTACTCTACTTATAAAAGATAATATTGTATCCAATTTTTACTAATAATCTTTTAAAATCTCAAGTATAATAATGATAAGTCTCACAATTTTATTGTCTTCTCTCAATCTCCCATTTTTTAAATTTCGAATGACTAAACTTTTAATAACTTGTTCTTTAGGGTAAAGATCTTATACTTTTCTTATAATACAAAATCATATAAAGAGTCTTTCTTTTTTTGTGTGTGTTTAAGATTCAGTTAAATCTTCAACAATATTATTTTCCCATCCATAAGAAATCAACTCTACTTTCACTTCTACAATAAGTATAAACGCATTGTTACTAATCTTAATCCTTGTAAAACACAACCATTTGAACCCAAAATAGCTGCAGGAAGCTTCTAATTTCACCATATCAGTCAATCAAACAGTTGAACTGCCTGTGAGCTATGGGGTCCAGAAAACGAACATATATCCAGGAATCAAGGTTTTAAAAAACACCCCAGGTACTAGTTCGTCAGCAACATCAAAGTTTTTTAAATATTTGAGACCACCATCCACCATTTATGTACAATCTCTCTCACAGGTTAAGGGAAAGAATTCAATAGCATTCAAAACATTGACAGAAATCAAATTAGGAGAGGAAAAAAAAAAAAGGCAAATGCCATTTTCTTATATACACAAATTTCATTTCACAATTTTATCCTACAAAGAGAAGAGGGGGGAAAGAAGAAATGAAATGATGAAATCAAAATACAAACAACTAACAGGCTCACCACTTAGCTGATGCCAAGCATATTTACAGCAGGTTTTCCTACTCTCTCCCAACCAAAGCACTCATTCAAATCTTTCATAAACCATAACTATCTTTAAAAACCCTTCATGCATTCCCTAAAACCTACAAAGCCTTATTCTCGTTCGTCTATAGTCCTCCCTATCATACCATCGTATTACTCAACTTCAAAACTGGCACGAAGTACCAAGTCTCTGTCTCTGCCTCTGACCTAAGGTTATGGATTTCCTCTTGGCAAATGCTGGATACAGCAGCTCTTGAAACTTGTCCAGAAACAATGTCCATTCATCTTCAGTCATATCTGCCACATCCACAAAGCTTATGCTTGCAGGAAGCTGCTCATTGGCACTCTTGTGACCAGACGACGAATTTGCAAAATGGCCATTATCCACCTTTCCTCCAGAATATTTCTGTTGATTCTGATTTTTTCCATCTAAAATAGTATTTTTCAGTGACACGGATAGTTCTGAAACAGTTGGGATTTTTTCTTCAGCACAATAAGTAACAAATTCCTGAGTAGATTCAACCTCTTCCTCCTCGATGCATTCATCCAACTTGAAAAGTGGGTTGCGGGCATACCCGTTTCCAAGTGCAGGCTGAAAAGTTCCTCTGGTTGAAGGGTCATCCATTGTCATCTTAGGTGTAAAATCTTGTCCAACTTCATCATAATCTATATCAAACTGAAACTCATCATCTCTCATCTCAGCCCTGGGAGAAGGTTCCTCCCTCTCCGCCACTATTTTCCTCGCCTCCAAACAAACAACCTCGAGTTCACTGGGCTCCTCCTCTCCCCTACGGAACTCCCTAGTCATCATCTCACCAATTTCAGCAAGACAAAGGCCATAAGCCGCAGCCTCCTTGAGGAAAATGGTGCACAGCACCAAGACTCTGAGACAGGCCTCTCGGATCATCGGAAGCTCCATTCTCAGCATCTCACAATCTCGATAAGGGTCAAGATCGTCAATGTAGGCAAGTTCATCCTCTGTAAAAGGAATTGAAGCCTGTGGCCAATGAATCCACTCGAAATATGGATCCTCCAAAGTTTCAGGCAGGCAGAGCCCATGATCAATGGGGATCAACTCCACCTGACCTAAAGTTCCAATGCCATCAAGTTTCCTAACCAACAAGTTCCCAGCATGCCTGTCTGTGTTAAGAATCCTAATGTCCAAAATCCCTATACGATGCACCGAAGCAACCGGGAAGCTCGATGTCCCATGATCACTGGCGTCAAAATCATGAGGAATGAACTGCTGGAAAGACGCAATCTTGCTAACCAGCCTCTTCCTCCAAAAACTGTTCCCATTGACACCATCATTCACATTGAACACCGAGTGGGTGATCTTTACCAGTGCAGTCAGTGGCACATTGGCAAAATGATCATAGTCTAGAAGATATGCTGCAACCTCCCTAAACCCAGTTTCCCCAACCCGAACCGATCTCTTCAGCCCAGGCTGCCCAAGTGCCTTTCCAACAAAACCTTTTGGGTTATTTGGAGCAAAAGGCTCCTCATCCGTGGGCTTCACAATTGCAACACTATCCCCCTTACTGTTCCTGAAATAGTATGCACCGCCAAGCCCACTATGCACTGGAATAGGATCAATCCCCATCTTAATCGCCTTCATAATGTCCTTGATCATGTGCTTGATCCTATCAAGGCGATTTGACTGTCCCAATATCTCAATAGGGCCACTCTTATCCCTCTGCTGGATGTCCCTCCCCTTAGGAGAAAGACAGGGAGTGGAGGAGCTCCTATGGATGTGATTTCCTCGAGTGAGCAAAAGGGGAGAATCATTCCGAACAGCACTAAGGTCATTTTTCAACACAATATCCCCAAAAGTGAGATAACTACTCTCCTCAATTGGGACGTTCAAAGCAAGCTGCAACCTCCTCTTAACAGTGTGTGCATTGTCACCCCGATCCAACTCCATACCCAACACACACCCTTTCTCTGTTTGCACAAACACCCGTCTTCGCCCCGCAGGTTGCTTTCCATGGTACTCTCTCCCAAGGGGACTGCTCCTTATCACTGCCACAGCCATCTGAGTCTGCACAGGGCTGTCGAGTTTCCGAGACATCAACAGAAAAACAACCACAGCAAAAGACAACTGCGGAAGAAAGCTTCTTCTTCCCTCCCAAGTAGTTGTCAACTACAGTGAAAGCTTTAGTCCAATGTCTTGCAGCAACGATCATTAATTTCTCAAATCAACCAAACCATTACCTAAAATCTGCATATAAAATAAAAAGGCTAAATTATATAATTCATGAATACAATCTCCTGTGCATAAGCCATCAACATGACTAGATTCAATTTATTTCCAAAATTACTAATTAAAAAAAAACATAAATGTTAAGGGAACAATGAATTCGAAAATTAGAAGATAATAACAACTTTAACTGAAGAAATGGAAATACCCCTAGGGAAAGAAATTACACAGAGTCGACTCAGCCGAAGCCTGGGATTGGAACCCGCTGAAATCAATGCGAGATCTGAACACGAATCAATCCAAAACTGCACAAAACCCAGCAGACATGGATTCTGTAAAGGGAAAATGAGGATTAAGGAAGAGGAAGGGGACAGAGTCCGGAGAGGAAACCGTACTATGAGGCAACTCGTCCGAGTTGACTCGGAGGTTTTCTTGGCAACAACACACAAAAGCTAGTTGAAACTTTGATCCCTTCTCTCTCTTCCCTTTCTATGTATCTCTCTTCTCCTCCTCTTTCTTTTTTAATTTGTTTTCCCTAGTGCTTTGTATCTCTCGCTCATGCTCCAAGCGTTCTTCTTGCTTTAACCCGATGCGGGGATGCCGGTTAAGAAACTAACCGTGGTTAGATATTGACCACTCTCCCTGTACTGTAAGGGTGGAAGGGTCTAGAATCGGGAATCAGGACCGTCTGATCTTACCGCACGATTAACTCCACGTGTGAGCGAAGAATGACGTGGTGATAAGGAACTGGAGGAGAGTGACGTGGCACTGAGGGTCACACTCAAGGAAGGGATTCCACAACGCTGTGGGTTGATTTTGTATCGTCCATTCCGCCTGCCTTGCTCACGCGTTTCTTACACACATGTGCATCTTTAAAGTAAAAATTAATCTTTCCAAAAAATATTAATGAGTAATGAATGATATACTATGGATAAGCTTAAGTTAATTAGTTTTTTAATATATATTTTTTATTTTCAAAAATAATCTAATAATAAAATTTTAAATTTATTTTTCATTTTCTAAAATTAATAATTAAGATCAATTTTTATATTAAATTATTAAAATTAAATAATATAAATACAAATAAATCTTCCACTCTTATTTTTAAAATAGATAAACTATTTCCATTTTATTTATGACTTAATGTAATTTAGTTTATTTATTATTATCATATAGTTTTACTAATTATATTTTAATTGTGTTATCCGAATATTTTTAGAATGATTTAAATTGGATAGAATGAATGGAATATCTAAATATTATAATTATTTTATTTTATTTTTATCTAAAAAAAATAATGAAGTGATCTTGACTTAAAATATATTTAAAATATAAAACAATTACAATATTTAAAATAGGTAAATTAAATAATTTACACATTTTTAAAAATGTACAAATATAAGATACTATTAAAATTACTAGATTTTATAAAACTAAAATTATACTACATCTAATCATTATTTTGTTTTTTCTTTCTAGACATTAATACAGAGTGTCAAATAAGTTTTAATTTGATTAAAACAATAAAGATTACAACGAAAAGAGAAAATATATGAATTATGTTGATTTTTTTATTTTTCACTTATAAAAAATGTATATATAAATTAAAAGAGATAGATTATTTCACAATTTTTAATAATATTTATTTCTTGTTTTATTATAATAATAATTTAATTTAATATAATATTAAAAATAAAATTATTTTCATTTTATTTTAATTTAAATAAATTTATTTTTTATTTAAATTTTGTTAGTCTCTCATGTTGTTCCTCCAACCCAAACAATTAATATAACCAAACATAATACTTAATAGAAATAAACTAATTTATTACCATCTAACAAAATTTAAAAAATTATATTTTTAAAAATAATAATAATATATTTTATATCTAAATCTTGTGAAAGAGAAATGACTTTCAAAAAGTTATGTATACAAAGTTTAATTTTTTATAATTAATTAAATTCTGATGTAAACTTATTTATAATTATTAGTAATTTTGAAAAATAATGAAATTTTTAACATGGAAATACCATAGAAGAAGATAAACTGAAATAATTAAGAGTAAATAAACTTTACTCTTTCAATTATTTTGATATAAAAGAAACAACGATTATGGTATTAAGTTGTTAAGAAATAATTATTTAAGAACAGGGTGAAATTTAAATATTTTAAAAAATCATCTACGATCAAATAAACATCATAACCCACAAGATAACTTTTGCACTTTTTAGTAATTTAAAAAATAAAAAATTATATACTCTTTAAATAAAATATAATTATTCAATCCCAGAGTTTTTGTTTACGGTAAATTAAAAAAGTCAACATTAATTGAACCTTAAAATTGGCAAATCTTTAATAGATACAACAATTGAAAAGATATAATGTTAGGTTAAACTTTAATTGAATATGATTTTCATCCTAATGATCAAACATATATCTATAATCTCATACTGTAAACATATTATAAAATAAATGCGAAAGCGTACCTGAATTGACCATAATGACGATATCCTTTGTAGAGCACTTTTGATTTGATCTTATGGTCTTCCACCTGAAGAGCACCTGTATTTCCCTCTTGATTTTCTCTCTTGATGGGGATAGAAAGAAAAGAACGGGACTGTAACTGTATTCTGTCTATTTGCTCTCAGAAGGGGACCATGACCCTTTATATAACCAAAATTAGGTTAATTACTCAAGTTTTAGTATTTTTAATTTGGCCCCTCATCAAATTAAAAATTACTCTATGGTCTCTACACAATCATATTTTCATGACATATGCATTTAGCTAAAACTTTAATTTATTCAGATCACTTTATTATTTTGCTTAATAAATAATGACCCTAACACATTTAAATATGTATCATATATATACATGACCCAAAATTTGCCAACAATCTCCCACTAGTCACAAATATATATGTTTTTACAACCTTACAAATGTGTTAGACTTTATGAGCTCAAAATTGTCATTATATTCCTTTAGCATATTCTAAAAGTCCTGTCCATTAATCATATAAGGATATAAAACCAAATCAGCTTTTCATTGCATCATCGCAACTAAAACCAACAAGATTACTCATCCTGACATAACCAAATGACATGGATTCATCATGAAATGTGTAGCATGAAAAATTACGTGAAGGTGATCTGTACACGTCTATTTTCAACTGGTCTAAACTTTAACTTATCGAGATCGATACAATAACCTTAATGTACAAAGTGTAATGAATGAACAAGAAAACCGCATATCTATAGATAACCAAATATGTCCAAAAAACAATGTATACATATATAAAATTAAACATAGAACATAAAATATATGAAAATGACTAACTCCCACTAAACCACAAATTCCTCAAACTGTAAAACACCCATGTGAGCAACATGCTCATGAAAGACCTTGGGCGGAAGTCCTTTAGTTAGAGGATATGTTATCATGGAGTTTGTCCTTAAGTGTTCTATGAAAATTTGTCCACTTTGTACTCTTTCCTTAACAATACAGCTGATTTATTGTCACAATATAACTTAAGTGGTCTTTCAATGCCTTTCACAATTTGCAGCCCTGTGACAAAATTTCTCAGCCATATTCCATGATTTGATGTCTCATAGTATGTTACAAATTCTTGACATCCTACAAAATCTGAGTCAGAAAACCCAGCGATCTCCAACTGGTCTGACCTCCTATATGTGAGCATATAATCTTTTGTTCTCTTTAAATATCTTATGACTTTTTTTTTTGCTGCTTTTCAATGGTCTATTCCTGGATTGCTTAAATATCTGCCTAGAACCCCAACTATATATGCTATGCCTGGATGCGTACATACTTGGGCATAGATCAAACTCCCTACAACTGATGCATAGGGAATCTTTTGCATTTCCTCAATTTCCAAATTCCCTTTGGGCACTAATTTAGACTAAACTTGTCTCCCTTAGTAACTGGAGTATCCCCGGCTCATGACGCACAGGTTCTTGAGGATCTTGAGTTTGGTCTTGACGAACAATCAAATCATCTTGAATATGAGGTTTATCATCAATGTCTTGTGGATGTTCCAAACTTACTTTATCAAAAGTAATTGTTTGAATCGGTTCTGGATTTATTGTCGATTCTTCCTCCAATACAAAATTCTTAATCTTATTCTTCCCCCCAAACTCAATATCCTCAAAGAACATAACATTTCCCATCTCAAAAAATTGTCTTTAATGTGGGATCATAAAATTTATATCCCCTGGCTCTTTCAGAATAACCAATGAAGTAACTACTTACTGTTCGGGAGTCTAATTTTAGTTTAGTACCACGGGATTCTGTATTAAGAGTTGCATTATAGGTGACCACAGTATCAAATAAATATAGATTATCATTAGCCAAAAAATGAACCAATTATAACAATATCTGAATTAAAAGACAAATTGAACTTATTGTTTCCAAATGAACACAAATAACCTAATTTGTCCAAATAAGAAACTGAAACCAAATTCTGTCTAAAAGATGGCACGACAAAAAATGTCTTTTAAATCTAAATTAAAAAACCAGTACACAATAATAATCTAAAATGTTCAATAGTCTCTATCTCCACCAATTTGTCATTTTCAACGTATATTCATCTTTCAGAATTAGTTGGCTTCCGGTAGTTTAGGCAACCCTTTCTTTTCACGCCAAACATGATATTTAGCACATTGCTTCTTTACGTGTCCAGTCTTATTGCAAAAGAAACATTTATTTTCTTGAGTTTGTTTCTTTTGTTCTGGACCTTTAGCAGCTTCCTTCTTGGAATCCTCCGATCTCTTTCTTTTGCCTTTAGCCTTAAAGGTGCTTGCAAAATGAGCACTTTCTGACTTGTCTTGCTTTAGTCTTTCTTTTTCTTGCACGCAATGAGAAATGAGCTCATTAAGAGACCATTTATCTTTTTGACAGTTGTAAGATACCTTAAATTGATTAAACGTTGCGGGAAGAGAAATCAACACCAAATGAATGAGCAAGTCTTCTGAGAGTTCAAGCTTTAGTGCCTTGAGCTTAAAAACAATATTAGACATGCTCATAATGTATTTCCTGATATTTCCTTTGCCCTGATATTTCATGGAGATCAAGTTCTGAAGAAGAGTGTTTGCCTCCGCCTTATCGCTTTTTGCAAAGCGCTGCTCAATTTCAGCAAGGAATTCTTTGGCACTTGTGATATTTTCAGAAACAGTGCCCCTAAACACCTCTGGGATGCCACGCTTAATGATCATTAGACTCATGTGATTTGAGCGATCCCACTTCTCATAATCTCTTTTCTGTTCAGAGGTACTTGAATCCGTAGGAGTAGGGGTTGCTCAGTCCTTAACGCAAGATCCATATCCATGCAGCCAAGAATAATATCAATATTCTCTTTCCAGTCCTTAAAATTTGTTCCATTGAGGACGGGAACAGAATTTAAATTGGCAGATACAGAAGCAATTGTAGCTGGATTAGAACAAAAGAAATAAACTAATTATGCTCACATTATAAAATAAATATTTATAAATAAAATATATATTCAAATAATGGTTTAACCCATCTCAAGACACCCAATGCACCATCAATATCAAGTCTTTGGACAGTAATATTAACTGCTAGAGGTATCTTGTTGTAACAATCAAACATTGACAATAAAGCACGTCCAACAACAAATCAGTCTTTGGATTGATTTATCATCGACAAAGCAAATCCTTATAATTATCACATGTTTATCATTACAGGTGTATATGTAATTCGGCCAAATATTAATCTTCCTTTGGGTCGACTAATACTCGCATGAATATACACTAAACATTAACATTTAATATTTTTCACGAACTACCCAATTCAAGAAATGTTACTTTAGTAACTTCTTGACTCAATTTGTTCACAAAAATATTAAACTACCAAAAAAAGTAATATTTTATTTATATAACAAAACCAAATTTATATAATTATTTATTTAAAAAAAAATACTATTGGTTCTGATTGAATGAATTGTACGAGTGTACCTCTACCACGGTTTAAACATTCCATAAATTAATTATTTGTTAGTATTTGTAACACGTAACAACATAACATAACACCATGTTGAGGATTAATTATGTGAAAGAGGGGAAAGAGGGATCCATTAAATTGTAGGGTACAACTGTTACGTGTCGAGTAATTGTGGTGCATGACCCATCTTTGATTCGGGTCTAGAACTAGCATTAGACACTCACACACTCCTATTCTCTCCATCCCATAAAACACCCATCATCCACAATGGCTAATCACCCTCAAATCCATCTTTGACACCTTATACTGCTTCAAAGAGCATTGGGAGGACTACGTTGATGGAGGATTAATTAGTCCAATCAAAAGGATGAATTAGACTAAGAGGAAGTGATGGCTCGGAAGCGCTCCTGACCCACAGTGTCCCAGATCTGCGCCTTGACTTCCTTGCCATCGATGTCCACCAGAAAAGCCACCGTATTCATCCAAAATCAAGCTAGAATTAGCATAAACCCTAATGTGGTAGTTGTTAGAGATCCTGCGTTTCTCTCCTTTAAACTGTGGTTTGTTTTACTTGGTTGATAATTAAAAATTGTGTCTCCTGGTGCCATAAATAATTAAAGATCTGGATATGCGTAGAGTCCAGAGAATGACCAGATCTACTATGTGGTGGGTCTGTAGTTGGGAGCCTTGCCATGCAACATAGCTTGAGCCTGTAACTTTTGAGTACATGGCAACAACTCCAACTGTTATGCGGATGCTCCCCTTCATCAGGCCAATCTCATGTGATTTTGTGCCATGTTTGGCATAAATATTGTTTGGCATGGTGTTGTTAGCTAGAGCTATACAATAAAGATTGGATAGAGATATTTATCATTGGTGGAAACTTATTGCAGGCATAGGTAAGACAGCTGACTGGTTTAGGACAGTATTGTTAGTTAAGCCTGTCAATGGGAACTTGCGATTAAGTGGATCCTCTGCATGTGGACAAAATGGAGGTGTGCAGCTTCCTCATGAATATGTTGAAGGTATGATTCATTTGTTGGCCTTCTGTTGAAAGTGTAGTTCTTATAAAACTTGTGGTTAACTGTACTTGTGAATTTATGAGGATGACCTCTTTGTTCACCTTGCCCAGAGTTTCCATGACTAAGCACACCCTGAATCTTGACCTTATCAGAGACCGAGAGCTCCACCTTTCTTTGCTTCGACGACAACACATAAGGGTACATAACAGACTCCTCCACGTTCGAATGATCAAGCCCTAACAAATGCCCTATCTGATGCATCGCCACACTCTCCAAATCCAACGCCCTCGTCAAAATCGTAAAACCCCACCCTAATATCAGCCTCATCATAACTCCCCTCCGTCAGATTCAACCCCGGAACAGCCCTACCCCACCGCGCGAACGCCCTCCTGAACACCTCAGTCGCGTTCCCCGGAATCCTTCTCGTCGGGAAGAACCCGTACGTGAGTCTCATCCCGGAGAACCACTGCCGCCCGGCCTTGGGCCACGACACATTCCCCACGGCGGAGAACTCGAAGTTCACGTCCGGGACGCCGCACCGCGGCAGCGAAAGTTGGTGGAATGTCTCGTTGGTTAGTTCGCCGGTGGGGTTGAGATTGAAGAAACGCTAGCAGGACTTGATAGCGGTTCGTGTACCGAAACCTTGCGGTATCACCGGAGATTCCTCACCGACGACAATGTGACGCTAAACTCACGGGACAATTTTACCCCAAATTTGATTTTAGGGTTTACAAAATTTGGAGATTATTCTCCACCTAGGGTTGTCAATTTAAACAGAATCTAAATTCCAAATGCAAACATGAATCAAGTATGGGTTGCTCTGATACCAATTGTTAGGTTAAACTTTAATTGAATATGATCTTCATCCTAATGATCAAACATATATCTATAATCTCATACTGTAAACATGTTATAAACTAAATGCGAAAGCGTACCTGAATTGACCATAATGACGATATCCTTTATAGAGTACTTTTGATTTGATCTTATGGTCTTCCACCTGAAGAGCACCTGTATTTCCCTCTTGATTTTCTCTCTTGATGGGGATAGAAAGAAAAGAACGGGACTGTAACTGTATTCTGTCTATTTGCTCTCAGAAGGGGACCATGACCCTTTATATAACCAAAATTAGGTTAATTACTCAAGTTTTAGTATTTTCAATTTGACCCCTCATCAAATTAAAAATTACTCTATGGTCTCTACACAATCATATTTTCATGAGATATGCCTTTAGCCAAAACTTTAATTTATTCAGATCACTTTATTATTTGGCTTAATAAATAATGACCCTAACACATTTAAATATGTATCATATATATACATGACCAAAAATTTGCCAACATATATCACATAATTTAAATAAATAAAAAATCATTGAGTCAAATTAAAATATTGACTTAAAAAAAAAATTCTTTTGTTATATGTTCCAACGTAAATCATGGTATTTTATATTTTTTAACCTGTCTATTCTCGTTACATCTTACAAGTACTTGGTGACACTATTCATTAAGATAAAAAAAATCGGATATTCTTATTTTTGTTATTAAATTAAAATAAATTTATTTAAAAAATATTATAATATATTATTGAGATAATTAAAATATATATATATATATATATATATATATATATATATATATATATATATATATATATATATATATATACATATATATCGAACACTGACAGAAGATGAGACGAATTACTGGGACGACGTCGCTTTCGATATAACTGTTAGTGCGGTCTGAGAAGCAGATGAAAATTGCTTCTTAGCATTGATTCTCTCACTCTTGAATAGGTGTGCACAAACTTTGTCTTGAATGGAAGAAACATGATGTGATAATATTATGAAGTCTAAAATCTAATAAATTAATTTATTAATTTAATTTTAATTATTTAATAATGTCCAAAAGGCAATAAATACACACTAAACTACATTAATAAATAAATTTTGACTCACTTGTAATTTTGGGTAGGCAATGGTTATGTTTCCTACTGGAGGTTTTGTCTTCAATTTTATTATTTGAACGAAATACGTTAGAATTAATTTTTATTATATATAAATTTTATTGAAAATATAAAAAAAAATAATAACGAAATTTATAAAATTAGTAAAGGATGTACTTTTAAAAATATATATTAAAATTTGAGTTCTAATTCAAAATACAAAATGCGATCATTGATGGTCTAAATTTTTCTTTCGATAATTTTTTTTACTAAAATGCTGATAATATATAAAATAAAAAAGGAATTTCGTCATATAAAACATATGTATTAATCACATCAAAAATATATTAAATGAGAAGTATATCTATTTAAACTTTAAAGACTTAAAATTTATTTTTCTTCAAAGTAGAAAGAATCTTGAATAAGAAGAAGCAAGTTTTGGTGGTGGCACCCACCCTAGGCTTTATCTGCCACATTTAAAGTGGTGTGAGAATCAATATTATGAACTGTGGGCTGTTTCAAGCCATGTTGCTGAGACAAGCTATAATAAGTAGAAGACAACACTGTGCATTGGGTTTCTGTCTCACTTTTGCTTTCAATGTGAATTAAATAATACAATGCATTTTTATAAGAGAAAAAGAAAAAGAGGGATAAAAAAGATAAAGTAAGAAGAAAAAGAAAACACCATTGAATACGACATCTATTGAAAAAGATATAAAATAATTCTTCTAAATTAATTATGAAAAAAATAATTTAATAGATTGAAATATAATTAAATTTATTTATATTTAATATTATTATTTTAAAATAAATATTTTTAAATTAAATATGAATATTATATTTAATAAATATATTTAAAGTATATTGTAATAACATATAGTTTATAATTTTCATGATTACTGTCCACGATGGTTTTGATATGTCATTATAAATTATTAATATATTCTAATAGATTTTTTCATCCTAATAAATTGATAATAGTAATATATCTTTAATTAAAAATTTCTAAATTTATCATTTTTTTATTTGTTTTTCATCTTCAAATTGTTTTCTTTTTTTATTATTTGATATTATGGAGGAAGCATCAAATATATTGAAGAAATTTGAGATAAAAAGGTGTTTTAGGAAAGAGAAGAAGAGTTAGAAGAGAATAATTAAATCATGATGAAGAGGCGAAGAAAAAACAAATTAACAATAAAATAAATTAAAAAAATTTAGTGAGACAAAAAATTAATAAAAGAAACAAAATAAAAAATATATAATAATGATTATTTTATAAATGTATGTCCTATAAAAAACACAACCATAATTATAAACTAGTTATAGTTAAAAAATAAAAAATAATTACAAAAATATTATAATATTTTTTAATAATATTTTATATATAATCATCGATATTTTTTATCTATTTTATATTAATGATAATTTAAAACATATAATAATTAATATATGAAATAAAATAAATAAATTCATCTAATATGGAAGTAAGCTTTTAAATATTATATTATTTATATATGAACCTAGATAAATAAATTTATATTTTATTTTATTTATGAAATTATTCATGATAAAATTAGTTATTTTATAAAGAATTTGAAAAGTAATTAAAAATTTAGAAATTAACGAGAATTTTTTATTATTTTACCTAAAAAATAAAAATTTAATTTTTTTTATCAAATTTATATCTTTTCTTTTTCTATTTTCTATTTTAATTAAAATATTTATTATTCATTTCGACTTGTTTTAATACGAGTTGACTCAATTAAATCATATTAGGATAACCTAATCTAGACTAGGTTTAACTTATCTTTACCTAATTCGAATCAACATAATATTTTATGTTATGATTATTATCAAACACTTAATCATTATCTATCTAGTTCATCCTATATTTATCTAACAACCTATCTTAATTTAATCTAACATACATTGACCTGATCATATTAGACTCAATTAGTCAAAATAAATTTAACTCACCACAACATTACCTATCTCAAATTGACTCATATCCATATGATCATTTCTAATCCAATATATCTTGTATTAGTTTAGCTCAACTTTAATTTTAATTTACCATATTCACTCAAAATTTAACTTAACACATTTTAACAAAACTTAATTCGACATGGTCTCATTCATCCTGACAAAACCTAATTCATTCCAAAATAACCTAACACATTTCGAACTAACCTAATATAACCCAACACGTTTCAACTTAACAACTTAACCTAACTTTACTAAATCTTCTAATATAATATAATTTTGGTTTAATCTATCTTTTCTCAATTGTCTCAATTTAATATTTCATGATTACATATAAATGTCAAATATTAATTTATCTTATATATTTTTATATTAATTTATAATTATGATAATCTTAACTTTACTAAACTAGTCTTCGTCTAATAAAGTTTAACAGTAATATATTTTCTTTTATTATATATATATATATATTTTTTTTCTATAAAAAGAACGTTAATAATATATAAAATATATAATTATAATTACGTGAAAGAAACGTGGTAATTATAAAATATTCAATTAAATAATAAAGATGGATTGCTAAATAAATCTATTATTTTTTATAATAATCATACATATAATAATTTTACTATTAAATGCAATAATTTTACTAATAGGAAAGCAATCTCTTAAAAATGTAAGTATTAATCAAAAGTTAATAACTTAAATCATGCAAATTAAATATATAAAAGATGGACACATAGAATCTGAATCTGTTAAGTTTTGATATTTTTAATTAAATACAATAATGCTATGTATTTCATTAAAATGTATCACCTGTTAAAGAAAAGTTAAAATTTAAAAGGTTGTGTCAACATTTGTGACATGGAACACACAAGGTGTATGATGTTTCAATAACTACTAGTCCATGGATTGAAAAGTTGGTAGTGACAATAATTACTTTTTATCACTTTTTTTAATTGTAAATAAAAAGAAAATGTGTCATTCATCATTGTTTTACCTATAAGTTGGAAGGTAAAAGGAAAAAAATATAATAAAAAATAGTTGAAACAAATATCACTTCGCGCTTTTATATAGGTGTCTTTATCCTTTTTAACTCATGCAACTTGGATGAATGACTCATCACTTATATTTGTTAAAGTTTTTTAGATAAGAAAAAAAATCCTCTAAACTAAATTAAAAGGGACAATTTATATGAAGCAGCTTTTTCAAAACTAGTATTAAAATCATCCTAGATTAAATTAAAAGGATAAATCTATATATTCATCCAGACTCTGTTTATTTTATAATATTAATATCTAATCTTATTACAAAACATATAATATATCAATAGGTGATAAAAGGGTTAATTTTTAATTTAAGTAATGTTAAGAATAAGTTTAACAATTAGTTGTTATACATAATATTTCAAAAAAAACAAAAAAACAAAAATATATATATAATATTAAACTAAAATTATTTAATATTTAAGAGCTGAAGGACAAAATATATCATTAAAATTTTATATGAATCAAAATGATATCTTTACGAAAATTATAAGATTTAAATAAATATATAATGTTTAAGAATACGTCATGTGTGTCTGTAACTATTTAAACGTAATATCATATTTTTATAAAATTCAGTAGTCATTGTTTCATATTACATATACAAATCATAATTATTGGAAGGAAATATCAAAACATAAACTGAAACACATTATACTGAAAACAACATCTTATAACTGGAGAGATAATCTACTCATAAAGTGTAAACTAAAATTTTATGGAAACTTTTTTCACAACTGTTTTTGTGGAACCCTAACGTGAAAGAAGAAGGTGTAGCTATGATCACTACTATTTGAGGATTGGAGTATACATTGCATCACCAACAAGCATGCATGATTGCACATGAAAAAGCATAACACGTGGAGGGACCAAAATGGTATTAAATATTGATGAAATTGGGTATGACCATGATCTTTTTGCTGATAACTGTGTTAGGTAGGCACATTATTTGTCAGTACTTTTGATACAACATAAGCAAGTGTATCCTTTGCCACATACGTTTGGTCATGCCGATTAAGCTGAGCTAGTGCCATGTCACTGTCTATGAATAATTCTTCTTCTTAAACTCTATAAAGTGTTGTTTATTATTATTATTATAATTGGTTTCATAGTTTCTTCATCTTCCACACAAAAGTTGCGGTGGAAGCAGTAATTTATCAAGATGTGTTATGTGGGTAAAAAGTTCACTTAATATATATTAAAGGTTTAAATAGAGCAGCAATGTTAGTAAATAAGTATTTCATATTTCTCCACTTTCTCAATTTTAATACAAAAAATAATGAGTATATATAATTAAATCTGAAAGAAAAAAATAAAAAAAAAGAGGTGGGATTGAATGATAGTACGTAGGAATGGATAGATACAATGTAACTGGGAGAATGGCGAACAAAGGAACCGGTATGTACTCCAATCACATTCGTACTGTTCCTGCGCAGCACTGCACAAACCTACTCCTTTGTGATGGAATGAATGGCCCAAACTTTATTGTCCTCACCTACTTTTTCCAATCCCAAAATACAAACTCATCAAACAAAAAATACTACCATCTATTAGTATTCATACATTTAACTGTTTATTTTTTTTATTTTCAATAAATAAATAATTTAATACTTATATTTATCCTTTCATTTCATATCGTAACTTTTGGTTTTAATAATATTTCTTTTATACAAGTATTTTATTTATTTTAGAAAAAATAATAGTGTAATACATTTATCCTCAAATACATGAATAAAAAAAATTATGTAAATGTAAGAAGAATAAATTATATATTTTATTCTTAATTTGACCTCTATGATTCTAGTTATTATTATATATATATATATATATATATATATAAATAAATTAACTATTCGATACGTTCTTCGTGTATTAGGAATGAATATTAATTTATATATATATATATATATATATATATATATATATATATTATGAAAATATAGTGATGAATAAATATTTTAAAATAAATAATATTTTGAACGTAATAATTATTCGAACAATATTATCCTAATCAATATTTATTTAAAATTGAAAATATTTAAAGATTTTGTAACATTATAAAAATTTATTTTTGTTAATTATTATTATTTTATTTATGTTAAAAATAAGAAATTATCTATAAAATTTGAAGAAAATATAAAATTACAGAAAAATCTCAAAATAAATAATAATATATTTATTCTTTATTATTTTTAATTTTTAATTTAACTAATATTTTTTTTTAATTTAATTAAATTACTTTCCTAAATAAACTAATTAATTATATAATATGTATCCTTTAATAGAATATCTTAAAGAAATATCAAAATAAAAAACTAAGAAAACATGGTGCAATTGACTGGGTACACCAGAACTAGTTATCGAAGTATTTGAACTTTTCCTTTGTGTATACTTAGTTTCAATTTATTTATTCATTTATTGGATCGAGGAGGTTCTTTTGTTATTTAAAAATACATTTAAAAGATTTTAATTTCGGTGGGCGGAGATTGCGGTATTTATTATTATTGCACATAGAAATAGCACATTCTATCTTCCTTGTGGGCTCCACTCTGTTCAGAATTTTAATAATCTTTTTTTATGGGTACTTATGGAAACTTTGAAAAAGAAAAAAGCTTTTTTTTTTTTGTGTTTTAAATTTAACAATTTAATTGATAATATTATTAATTAATTAAAATAATAAACTTACCCAGAATTGGACAATTGTATTTGTTTAAACTTATTCGAGTTATATGAAGTTGATTTTCTAAAATAATTTAAATAAAATTTTTTGAATTAAAAAAGAAAACTTCTCTAAATAAATAACAACTAAACACTCTATTTCATAACAAAATTATCTAGAAAAAAAAAGACATTTATTCACAAGATGTTGATTAATTAATTAATATTAAAAAATGACGAGTTGAATCAAGATTTTGTTACACAAAACTAATTAAATATTATATATTAATGTTCGTAAAAGAAGGAGGGTGTTCAATTGTCTTGGCCCATATGTCAGTAAAAAAGTTTCAGAAATATAACATAATAGAAGAAAAATATTTTTGTAACAGAAATTGAATGATGTCTATTCAAACAAGATTTACACACGAAGCCATAAATTTATGAGTGGTCATATTTTATAAAATAAAATAAAAAATTAAAATAAAGAATTAAAATAATATTATTTTCTTAATATATATATAGATTATAAATTAATTTAATAAAAAACCACTTATTTTAAAATTAAATATAAATATAAGTTATATATATATAGTTAAAATAAATCATTAAAAAATTTAATAATAATATTTTTTTAAAATTTTTATAATAAAATAAATATTTTATCTTATAATTTATATATTGGATTATTATATTTAAAATAAAAAATAATTTTACTAATATAATTTAAATTTTAAAAGTTTATTTTAATTTAAATATTTTTTAATTTATTATTTTAATATTAACACATTAATAAAAGTTTTAAAAAAATTTGCATCATCTTTTTATCTAACATATTATTAGACCAGAGTATATGACCGGTTTAAAAATATACATAAAAGACTAAACCGTTACATTTTATTCTTTTCTTAATACATACAAACAGACCCGAGTAAAATACGCACAATCGTGTCAGCATGCTCCTTAAATATCATTACTTCATACTGTCATTTCAACTTACTAGAAGATTCTATCAGAGTTCCACGTGCATGCAACTCATCTATATTTTCAATTGTCACTAACAAGTTGCACATCCAATTTTCTAGTAAAAGGGTTGTTAAGTTGTCGCATTGCCGATCATGAATGGGGAATTGCTGATAAATTGGATTCGTTGCATGTGTTAGGTTTGATGTTTATTTCTTTGTCTTCAAATTTTGTGGGTGCAAACTTTGATGATTTTCTGCTTGATTATTATTGTTTATATCCGAAATCACATGGTCGCATAAACAAAGATTGTGCAGATGTTGAAATGCTATTGGTTCGGGTAAAACATATATAGTTAAGTACATTCCAATATCTTATTGTTTAAGTCATTGATTATTGTGGATATAACAATTACTCCTCTATCAGATAGAATCATTGACTGAAACTGCTTCCCATGTGCCTCTAAATATATAAATAGTAACTAAATGCATTGATACATATAAAAAATAGTACGAAAAAAGAAATAAATAAATGTTGCAAGGCTAAGATAATATTGCAAAACTTATACTATTTATTGAGAAAATTTGAAGACTAAGCAAACTCCATGATAGTCAGAATGTGTGTTTTTCTTTGTTAAAAGTGTGATTAGAGATAATCTCTCTCTTTCTTCACTGATTACACATCCTCCAAAACAAATTTGAAGAAGCTAAGTTTAGTTATTATGTCTATCACCTTTCGTGTCAGACCTAATATTAACTTTTAAAACAAATTGGATGTAGCTTGAATGGTGGCTATATTTTTAAACATGATTACCTCTAGAATTTTAGCTAGTATATGGTGATACTTTTGAACACAATTAGGTTTGACCCATTTGTCATTCATCTGAAAAAATCATGTAACAAAGGGTGTTAAATGATTGTACATAGTTTGCAATGATAGTTGTGGCTGAATGACCAATGCCATGCCAAGCTTGAGAAAGAATTTTGGGTGGTATTTGCTCAACAATACATGCACATGTTGACTTGTCAGCTACGGTTGAATTTCATCACGAGTGTTCTCATCTTCATTCATGGGATTTTGGGACAACTTTTACCTACATAAGCTTTACATGTTTCCTCTACACAACAAAATATCTCCACTTTATGTGGATTATGATATTATTATTAAAATTTGTTATCGGTATTAATTATTTGTTTTAAAATTCTAATTTTGTCTTATATCTTAATTTAGAAAAAAATATAATATCATTTATCTTAACTTTTAAAGATACGAGATCTATGAACTTAACAGAAGAGTTTTAGAAATTTGAAAGGAAAGAAGAGAAACATGTCCACACTATAGATAGTTATTTTACGAAGCGGATTAATTAATGTAGAACGTGGCAAGATGAATCTGGACATCATTGACCACAATGAAAACGAAGTTCCACCGTCACAACTCAAATTGAAAATAGATCCAATGAAAATAAACTAAAATACTCCATAACCAAAATATTCATAATATTATTATTACTCATAGGTAGTGCATCGAGGTGGAAAGTAATTTCAACCCTTAGAATGAGAGTATAAGTTCAATGTTCTTATCCTGCATTGTGGGGGCAAACCACGTAATCCTCATAACTTTTTGGTCAAGATTAGCTCCAGGGTCTCTTCTACATTGGTCCAACTTGTAAAACATCTTCTCATCTTACTAAATAATAATAATAATAGTAATAGTAATAATAATAATAATAAGTTTCTAGTTAGACCAAAATACATTTTAAGCAAATCAACCTTTTATTTTACAATCTATTTTTGCATGGGATCAGCATTAATTTTGTTATTAACCAAATGATTGGGCCCAGACAAATGGTAATAAATGAAAGAATGTGGGTAAGTCAAGGCGTGTGATAACCGCACCTCCTTTTCTATCTTCCCACCGTATTTCTCCGTTTTTAAACAAAAGTTCCTACTTTTTATTGAGTATATTGTGAATACTCAAATTTCACCGTGTATTTTAGACTATGTTGTCAAGATACATGACATCTTGACATAGTAGAAACTATTTTTTATCATATTAGTGTCACACACAAAAGAATCATAAAAAATTGACAGCGAAGAAGCAATGAAAGTTTGAAAACTTAGGTGGAGAAGACAATGAAGGAAAAAACGAGAAACGTTTGTCAGAAGAGAAGCTCTTGGAAGAAGACAGGAGAGTGGAGGGTGGGGGAAGGAAGTGTGAAGGAAGGAGTATACAAAAAATATCACAAAAGCTTAGGGGTGAAAAAATAGAAAATAATGGTGTCTGAGTAATGGGCCTTAACACACTAAAAGATATCCATAGCCGTAAATAATAAATAGTTTTTTTTTTAATTGACAAAAAGTTCTTTATGTTGGGAGAAAAAAATATGGTGGAGCGTGCCTGATGTAATGGGCTGGATGACCGAATCAATCCTTGATTAGCCCAGTACCAAGCTCTAAGTAAGGAACTAGAAATTGATGAATCATGCAATTTTATCAAGACCAATCTTATTAAGATGTTTCTTGCTGACCCATAATCATCTAATGTCAATAATATAAATAGGATTTAAAAAGTTTTCTAAAAAAAATTCGAATTAATCTTTTTAAAAATATTTTAAAATCAACTTTTTAGAAATATAAAAAATTATTCTAAAACGATTTTGAAAAGTTTTTAGAAAATTCAATCTAAACAAATTTTAGAATAAAATTTTTTTAGAAATTTTTTAAATTGATGTTTTGAAAAGTTTTTCGAAAACATTCTAGAATTAGTCTTCGGAAAACTCCAGAAAGAAAAATCCAATTAAATTAATGTTTTGAAAAGTTTTTCGAAACATTCTAGAATTAGTGTTCGGAAAATTCCAGAAAGAAAAATCCAAAAATTTATCTGAAAACTCATTTAAAAAAAAAAAAATCTGGAAGAATGAATATGGAATAATAATATACGGGAGCGGTTCATGGATTCCCTATATTTCTCTTTTGATCCAACATTTCCCTAGATATGTCTGGCTCCAACATCTATTTTGTCATTTCTCTTCATGTCTCTATGAGGTGCTCCCTCCAGTGCAGAAGAGAAAAAGAGGTGTAAGGTGGGTGACGAGACTTTTTTTTATAAATAATACTATTTTAAAAAATATTTTTCAAAATATCAAATCTAGATCATTATTTACTTAACTAGTATTGTTTACTATTTATGATATTCTTGCTAAAATAAGAAATGTATCATTTGAGCGAGTAGACCTGAAACTTAAGAGTTTTGTGGGGTATAGGTTTGCTCAAGCAATAAAATTCTCGAGAAGTTCTCTCGCTCAAGCGAGAAATTCATCGCTTGAGCGAGGAGACTTGAAACTAATGGGTAATCTCGGGTGTTTTCTCGCTCAAGCGATGAGTAATTTCGCTCAAGCGAGAACTGATTAAAATATATGGTGACCCAAGTTGCATTATGTGGCTAATTGCGTCGGACCTTTAGCCTATGGTCAATTCTTGCTCAAGCGATGAATAATTTCGCTCGAACGAGAAGTGATTGACTAACTTAACGCTTGTGGTCAATTCTCGCTCAAGCGAGAAATCTATCGCTTGAGCGAAGAAACTTATGATTGATTATAATGTAAATTAATCGATCATAATTTTAAAATATTCGAATATTTAAAATTATGATCGATTATTTCTCTCTCGCTCAAGCGAGAAATCCATCGCTTGAGCGAGAATACCTGAAACTAATGGGTAATCTCGGGTGTTTTTTCGCTTAAACTATGTGTAATTTTGCTCGAGCAAGAACTGATTGAAATATGTGGTGACCCAAGTTGCATTATGTGACTAAATGCGTTGGAACTTTAGCCTGTGGTCAACTCTCGCTCAAGCGAGAATTAATTCCATCGCTTGAGCAAGGAAACTTGCAACTATTTATAATCGATTATAAGCTAAACTAATCGATTATAATTTTAAAATAATCGAATCTTATATCTTCACTAGTCAACTTAAGTCTTACAATAATTGTTTCATAAAACCTGCAAAAGCTTATCTAATTATTTTTGTATTTAAAAATTTGTCCTTGATAATTTTAAGTTATACACTCCCTGGACTGTAATTTGCAACCTTGTTAGCATATCTTCGATTCAGCCATGAACAAGATTGAACAACAAAAGGACTAAAGTGAAGAATATTAACAATTCATGCAACAAACCAGTATTCCTATTATGATTTGTTGCCAATATAGTTATCCTTATTGTAATAACAGATGAGCCCATGAGTTACTACATTGTAGGTAATCCCCACTCTGCACAGAAGAAATTTTATTAATTGAAAAACTCATAAATTTCATACATTGGGGCATTTCTTAACTAACAAAATATAATGATGCGAAGTAGATGCACGTACAACATTGGGGCATGTTCTTCTATTATGACCAGGGGTATGACAATATAAACATTTTTTTAATCCTACTTTGATTTTCTGTAATATCTATCTCAGTTCTTATATGACTTGATTTTGGTCGGCCCTTTGAAGTTCTTTTAATTTCTGGATTTGCACACAAAGTAGGTCCTGTGTATGTTAGTTAATATTCTTCATTTTGCAACAACCCAAATTGTGTTTCGTATACCTTTGAAACTTGTTGTAAGTATACACTGGATGAATGTAGTTGTTGAAGTCATAGTGTGCATGCAGCAAGAACGTGTGAAAAAGGCATGTGAAATTTCTGGAATTTCCCACGGTCACACCACAACTCATCAAGGCGAACTGCAAACTTCCTTGCTAGTCGAACTTCACGCGGGTTTTGTGTTTCTTCTACTACAAATTTTGTGGTAGATTTGTCAAAAGTTATGACCTTATGCGTGTTTGCCTGTGTTTGTGCTTCCTCTAATGTGACCAAAATTTCAGAGTATACATGACCAGCATTGATCATGACATCTATCTGCCTCCCTCTTTCAATGAAAAATTTGTTGCAACGGGTGTACGTTGTGTTGACCATGGAGCAAATAGATAGATTTCTTGTTTTTTTCAAAACAGAGTTGATAGACTATGCTATGTTGTTCGTCATGTGGCCCCAATGTCATCCATTGTCCCATGCAAGTGCCTCTTTTTCTCTAGGTATCTCATCCAACCAATTAGCTGCTTGTATGTCACATTGCCTCAAGATGTTGTAATAATAATAGAATCGTGGTTCAATCATCCCATACGCTACAATAATATTAAAAAAATATATTTAATATAAATATTTATTAGCAACAGTTAAATAATGAATAAATTGTAACAAATTTGAAGCAAATGAATGACCCATGTTTACAACATCTTTCCTTAGTGCGGTGTTTTTGAAACATCTCATAAAATTATGTGCAATGTGTCTAATGCAATAGACATGCACTGAATTATTTTCTGTCCATCCGCTTCCATTTCTCATGTATGCACTTCTAATGGATTCATGTCGGTCTGATATGAGGCATAATCCTTGCTGGGGTATGACATATCTTTAGAGGTTTTTGAAGAAAAAAAAACCAGGCATCACTTGTTTCACCTTCAACCACCGCAAACGCAATAGGAAGGATGCTGTTGCGGCCATCTTGTGCTACTGCAATCAACAACAAAGTACCTCTATATTTTCCGTACAAAAATGTTTCGTCCACTTGAAAAATGGGCTTGTAGTGAACAAATTCATATATGTATGGCCTAAACATCCAAAATACATGCTTAAAAATATTTGAATTTTGTTGAAGGACCTCACCTTGGTAAGCTGGTTATGACTGCAATTTATAGATAAATCCGGGACACAAATTGTTGCATGACTTGTAACAAACTAGACAAATTTTTATACGAATCCTCCCAATTGCCGTAGATGGTCTCCACTACCTTTTGTTTGGTTAGACATGTCATCTTGTACATTATAGGGTAACCCATTGTTAATTAGATGTGGGCTATGATTGTAGAGATCGATGTTGACGAATCAACATCAATTATTTGACCAATTGTTTGGAAAATCATTTTATATCTCAACTTGTTGTCTTGGTTGATTAATGGTGAAACACATGTATGATGCCCTTCAAGCTTCATAATCTCCCAATATTGCTCTCTTGTACGCAATATTGCTCGACATTTCCAATTGCATTAGTTATCAACACATTCAACAACATATCTACTTTGGTTTGAAATTTTCACCTTGTATGTTGTTAAGTGGTAAAAAGTTGATATAATTATACCTTAAATTGTTATGAAACCATTTAACTTATGTTAATTCTAATATATTTTTCACCCAATATAAGATGAATTCGAGAATACCTTGATACAAGAGTAAGGAGCATAATTGTCAGCATAATTAGAGAAAAATTGAAAGAAAGAAGAACGCTTAAGCGAATGAATGTTGCGAGGCCTGACCCAATTTCTCTTATAAAAAGATAAGATGTGTTTTGAGAAAAAGGAGGCAGTCTTGGAGAAGAGGAGACACGACTACTGTTAGGGTTTCGTCTAATCTTCATCAATTCTTCACTTCTTCATCAGTTAGAGCATTGTAATGGCCAACATGAGTGACTAACTTCATTCTCTTAGGATTCAGTGCACTTCCTTTGAACTCTTTTGTATCATGGTGATATTTTGAGATATTAATCTATGCTTTGATGTTGTTATTCTTATCCTTTATGCTTTGGAATGATTTATTCTTGATGTTTGGGGTATGATTGGAAAATATATCTTGAACCCTAGATCACGGTAAGAATATTTGTTACGTTAATTGCCAGGAATGGAATGAATGTATCAATTGCTTAACACCCTAACCCTAATGTTGGAAAATCTCTTAATTGTGTGAGGAATCAACATTTATTAGGTTTTCTTATGAATTTCATGTGTGAGGAATCAACATGGATGATTTGAGTAGGTGACATCAACATTGTTAGGTTAATTGACGTTCTTAATTGACATAGCCATCACAAAAGAGGGATAAGGAAGGAAGTCAATCCTAAGTACCTTTAATTGATATTTTCTCAAGAATTTACAGTTCTTTGTCATTTAATTTCAATTCAACTCTTATTTGCAAAACCCAATCTGTTTTAATCTACTTAGTAAGCATAATTGAGAATTTCCATTGAAACCGTTCCTCGTGGGATCGACTTTTATTTAATCGAAATACTATACTGCGATTGATAATTTTGGTACACTTGCCAATAATTCAACAAGTATTTATGTGCAGTGATTGACAATGTGAAAGCGGTTGATGACATCTTGAACTTGTTCTTTTGTTATGAAACATTGTCCAAGAAATAGAGTTCCTACCGGAGAAACAAAAGACTCTTTGTCCAACGCATAA